GCACAAACCGATCGTTTCGTGTCTTAGGACATCAATGTGTCGTCACGAGCCGCAGGGTTTAATTTGGATTTGTCTGTGCATGTTTTTTTTACTCTCATAGATTTTGTTACAATTGCCATGCATTATAGGACTGATAGACTGTAACGGTTGGAGTTAAAAATCATCAAATGTGTTCTACTGAAGAAACAAAGTCACCTATATCTTGGATCCCTGGGGGTAAGCAGATAAACATCAAATTTTCATTTTTGGGTGAACTATCCCTTTAAGCTTAGATGCACTGTCATGTCCTGTACAGCTTCTTCCCGTGGCCCACTCATTCCAGCTTCAAGTTTTGAAGCGACACTGTGAAATCCTCTGCTCAGAGAGAATAAACCTCAACAACGCTGTGAGCATCTACCAGACTTCCAAAGTATGTACATACAGCTTACACTAACATATTATTCATCATTCCAGCATCAAGCTTCAGTCCTCTGATCTGTCATCCGTGTGTGTTTGTTGTGCGTTATGGAGCAGGTGTGTGAGGCGGTGGAGCTGGCAGTGTTCTGTGAAGGCTTCTTCCTGCAGAACATGGTCGATCTTCTGGTCTGTGAGCAGTTTGAGGAGCTGCTGCTGGGTTCTGACTGCAGCACTGCGCTGGATCCAGATGCTCTGGATGGTCTTCTGGCTACACTGGCCTCACGGCTGCACTCACTTTGTGGGCCGCGTCGAGCTTGAGCACATGAGTTAAACCATTGTTGGAAAACCAACAAATCTCAGATGTGCAGGCAGGCGTGTGACCTCCCATACAAACACAGTTTATATGTTTGTTAACCTTCGTAATTCCTATTTTGAGTCAATGACAAAGATTTAATGGGATGTGTGAGCTATTTATTACTTTTCGTATCATGAGGTGTTTGATTATACCCAGTATAGATATGCTTTACAGTGTCTATTTTACAAGCTACTTGGAAGTACCCCTTGTGCTTCAGAGAGGAAGCGCTGTAAACTGCAGTGTAGCGCCCTCCAGTGGTCAACAGTGTCCTACGCCTGCATTCAAATACTTCCCAAAAAATGTACATAGTAGTATTGTATTGTTTTCTCACCTCACTTTAAAGTGTAAATATATTTCTAATATGCAGTAAGGCAAAGGTACGCGGATATGTTGGGATCAATAAAAATAAATTATTTGATATAAAATTTTTTCATGCAACAAATGAATGGCACATGTAATTTTGAAATGACTAATAGTAATAAACATGAAAAGAATCATTTTTATTCTTTTGTGATCCCAGACATTTGTATCAAATGGTAAAATCATTTGCATCATACAGTATGTGCATAAATTTGTAAAGATCTAGGATGATGCTTAAATTGTTTAAATTTTTTTATATTTTTTTACAAACTTTAAATAGTAAATAACATATATATATATATATATATATATATAGGCTACACACACACACACAGTATAGAGCAAATAGCAACACTGTACATTCCAATTGATTGATTTCTCCTAATTAACCTACTTTAGGTTTAAATGAATAGCAAATACGTCCTAATAACCCCGACCCCAACTTACCCCAAGGGTCTAATTTTATTTTTTAACCAGTTTTTTTTAATCCACAATTCTAAAAACATTAATATGTCAAATACCTACAGACAAACTTAATATTCAAAATTAAATGACAGAGATCACTATTTTCCTAGAGACAAAATTAGATCACTTAGCCTCAAAACTGTTCCAACTGTTAATCTTACAAACGTTGATATTCAGATGAAATGGGAAAAAAAATTAAAATGAGCCATTCATCAAGTGTTGAGATGTTGTGCCATCTGGTGGGGGGGGGGGAAGCTAGGGGGGCACATTTTGCACCGCTCA